CTAATTATATTTTAGATTTTTTATATTTAAAATGAGATGTTTATCTTGTATTTGATTGTGTTTATCTGCAGTTAGTTACACGAATTCAGATATGGAGCTTTAATAAGTTGTACCTACGGACAATTTACTTATAATCTTGAGTTTTAAGTAATATGCATTAATAAACAGTACTTTACGCATAAAAAGTGGTTTTTAAGAGTTTTTGCCAAATGATTTATAATATACAATATATTTTTTATATACATAATTTAATTTAAGTTTAATAATAAAACAGTTTATTTTTGGTTTAATATTATAAATTTTATAAAAATAATAATTAAGTATTTTGTTAGAATTTAATAATTATAGTAATTATATTTTAGATTTTTTATATTTAAAATGAGATGTTTATCCTGTATTTGATCGTGTTTATCTGCAGTTAGTTACACGAATTCAGATATAGGATGAAATCGGATAGGGATGAAATCGTTTAGGGATGAACGAATTTAAGAGTTTTTAAGAGTTTTAAGAGTTTTTAAGAGTTTTAGCCAAATGTTTTATAAAATAGTATAGATTTTATTAAACTATATGACAAATATTATATTCTTTTATTTAATAAATACAGGGTTTATACTTAAAAAAGTTTATACAATGATACTCATCTTACATGATTAAGATAAATAATTTGTAGTTATAAATAAGATTGAATTTTGATTTAAAAGCTTTTTGGAAAGGAACAAATATCATTAAAAACATATAATTATGATTTCACAAGGATGAAAATTGTAATTTAGGGGTCATTTACTAAACGTTTACCGGGTAAACATTCACCGGTAATAGATATCACCAAACTATGCTCATGTGAAAAGCACGTGAGGGAGCTATCAGAAGAAAGATAAATAGAGTTAGAGGTTGTTTGACAGTTGCTGAATGATTTGATACAAAATGATTAAGTGGTCAGAATGATTAAGAGACTCTTATTATATATACTATAAAATGAAATATAATTGTTTGGTAATTATCCATAATAAAATTAGAGTGCTAAATGGTGAAAGGATGCCCAAAATACAAAATTATTCAGAGTATTTAAAATCATTAACAGACAAAAAAAAATTACCAAACAAGAATAATCTCTTAATAATTCAAAAACTATTTTTTAATGAAATTATTAAAAGGTAAACAAACAACATCTTAGTAAAACAGACCAAAATCAAATGAAAACGCAAATGACAAGCTTCTTTTGTAATAAATAAATTATAAGAACCAAAATAAAAAAATACAAAATACACAAACGACCAAACCCGTAATTATATCAATTATTTAATTAAGGATTATTTGACTGGTCAACTGGGACCCACAAAAGACTTAAAATCTAGAAGATGTCAGAAATAAATACTGATATTTTCAATAGATTTCGTTTTTTTAATTTTTGTTACATCAATACAAAACTGTTTAATTTAAATATATTTTTATATATAATAAAAAAAGAAAAAAAATCCAAGATAAAAAACTGTAAAAGAAAAGTCTAAATAGCCACTAATAAGTGAGTCCCCTCTTGTTTATTTCCTCCTTCCTTCTTGGCGGAATATCCAAGATTTCTTGATAGCGAAAGAAAACACAAAGAAACCATCGTCTTTAATATCTTATCTGTAAACATACTGCTTCATTTGAGGAAGAAGAGATAGAAAATGGGCATTTTGAATGAAGATGCAGTCTTGATTAAAGAAGCAGAGAAAGCAGGAGACAACACCATAATCACTGTTAACTGTCCAGATAAAACAGGCCTTGGCTGTGATCTTTGTAGAATTATTCTCCTCTTTGGTCTCAGTATTGCTAGAGGAGGTATTTCCCTTTCTCCCCTTTTCTAACTCAACAAACCTTTTTTTTTTTTTTTTTGCTTGATTAGGGTTCTTGATGGCCTCTCTTTGATTCATTACTGAACTTTTGGGGCAAATTTGGGTATTTCTTTTGTTTTATTGAATATGATCTTGGGTATGATATCATTTCCTTGTTCTCTTTTCAAGAAAATCCCATTTCTAGCTTAATTAGTGTTTTTGCTGGTTTCCTACCATGGGCTATCCCCAGATTAGTTGCTAAACCTGTGTTTGTTTATCATTTTTGTTGAAGTTTCTCCTTTCCATTTGTAGTTTTTTAAATATATCTTTTAAAAGTTAAGATCTTGATATGGGTCATCAAAAGGATCATATTTTCCCATCTGGGATCCTGTTTCACTCTCACTTTATGTGTGTGTGTGTGTGTGCTGGTGATCTGTATATTCTTTGGGGCAATAATGGAATTCGAGCTGGAAAGTCCCAACCAGTTGGCAAATTCAATCAGAAGTTGATGCTTTCACTTAAAGTTTGGTCAAAAGATTGTGATATCTTGTGTTTGGATTGAAGAGGGTCATGATATATTTCAATAATTTGTTGGCACAGATGTATCAACAGATGGGAAATGGTGTTACTTGGTTTTCTGGGTGGTTGGCCAGCCAACAACCAGTTGGGACTTGCTGAAAAACAGGCTACTTGAGGTCTGCCCATTGTGCACACCTGCGATATCGAAAATCTTCTACTTTCTGCCAGAGTTTCAGCAGCCTAAACCACCAGAAGTTTTCCTTTTGAAGTTCTGGTGTACCTTTGACAGAAAAGGCCTCTTACATGGTACCTCTCACTTTCCCTAAAACTACATCTGTGTCGGATATACTGTGTTCGGTTGGGTTGGTTTATGGAACATACTCTTTACAGCCTGATGCAAGATTCCTTTCCCCCTTTTGAGGAGGTTTCACATGCTTTTAAATCTTGAAGATATAGTCAAGATCCTGTAGAATTGTTTAATATTATTAGGTTCCTTAAGGAGTTGGGGATCTAGGGGTTATATTTGACTAAGAAGATCAATTGTTTATGTGGGTGGTTGGCATGACTTTGAATCTATCATCAATGGTATGACAAAATTGCTTCAATATGATATATATGTAGAAAGGAACTTGAAACTAGTCATATGATAACGACCTTTTTGGTAGCTACAGAAATAAGTTTTCTTTGTCCACTGTCTTTGCACCCCCATGGTTGATTTGAGGTTAAAAAGGGTAGACAGAATTGGTTCAAGCAATCTTCTTTGACTTGTTCTTTAAGTGGTGTATGTGTAAACGGATCACATAGAATTTACTGAAAGAGCAAGTTTAACCGGAGTTATTTGTATGTTTTTTTTAAGTATATAATATTTATATACGATAAATGAACCCATGAATCCTTCTCGTCTTTGGTGCGGTTTGGACCCTTGACCTCTGCGCTCTACTGGTAATCCGGATAGCGTTAGGTTCTACGTAGAATGGGTAGAAAAGAGCCTGTTTCCGTTCAGTTTATTATAGGAACACATTTATTCATATAGTGGTTATCTCAATCTTTGATGTAATTGGATTTCGTTTTCTAATTTTGTTTATAGATGTGACGAAGGTCCTTTGTGAGCTAGAGCTCACGGTCAAACGAGTAAAAGTATCTACAGCGCCAGATGGGAGAGTCATGGACCTTCTGTTTGTAACGGATACAAGGTACGTCTCACAATCGGTCTTTTTGACCTCAAAAAGTCGAACTATTCATTTTTGGTTTGTTCTTTGAACTTGGTTTTTCTTTGAAGTATATAATATTTATATACTATACCCTCATCACCTTTGGTGAGGTTTGAACCCTTGGCCTCCAAGAAGATTAGGATCTACGGGTAACCCGGATACAGGGCCATTGACCCTTTGGTAATATCCTGTTGTTGTTGCATGTTCCGGAAGCTGAAAATACATATTCTTTACATAAAGACCTTACGCTTTTCATAATCGCAGAGAACTTCTTCACACAAAAAAACGACAGGATGAAACAAAGAGTCATTTGAACGCGATGTTGGGAGATAACATGATCAGTTTCGAGATTGAATTGGCTGGTCATGAAGTCATTGCTAACCCTCAAGGATCAACGTTTCTTTCGCCTGCGATCACAGACGATATGTTTGGTTTGGAATTTGCTGGGACCCACATGGGCGGGCCGTACAACTCCAACCGCGTGTCCGTTACGGTTGATAACGATCTTAGTCCTTCGCACACACTCATTCACATACTTTGCCGAGATCATAAAGGCTTGACCTACGATATCATGCGGACACTAAAAGATTACAACTTCCAGGTACTCATTTGTATTTGATTTTCAAAGACATGCACCAACGCATTTGTTTCTAAAGAAACATGTTTGACCTCCAAAGGGGCAAAATGGGAATTTTTAATAGAAAATGATTATAAAACTTGACAGATCTCGTATGCGCGATTCTTTGCGAATGCCAAAGGAAACTTTCAAGTCGACTTGTTCATAATGCAAGCGGATGGAAAGAAGATAGTCGACCCTGAGAAGCAAAATGTGCTTTGCTCGCGTTTGAGGATGGAGCTCATTCGACCTCTTCGAGTAGAAGTGATGAGCCGTGGCCCGGACACGGAGTTGCTGGTGGCTAATCCGGTCGAGTTAGCCGGAAAAGGTCGGCCACTTGTGTTCTATGACATTACGCATGCCATAACAAGCCTCAAGATTCGCATCTTCTCGGTAGGTTACCTTTGCTGAATCTAGAGATGCACAAAAAACCCCAAGCCCGGCCCAAAATAAGCCCGATCAGGTCAAGTATTTTTTTCAAGGTCCAGTTAAAGCCCAGCTGAAAAATCTTGTATGTGGGACAAGACGAAACATTACAGACAAAAACTAGTTATCCCATGTCTGGTGTGATTTTAGAGTGGGACAGGACTGGACTAAGGGGTCGTTTACCAAACTCTTACCCAGTAAGTGCTTACCAGTAAAATCTAACACTTGAAAAACCCACGTCTTTGTGCCTCCTAATTGAATATGTCGTCCTGTTGGCTTTCACTTTCTGCTATTCATCGTAACATTCGATTTTCTCATAGGTGGAGATTGCGAGGCACAGGATTCACGATCGAGAATGGGAAGTCTATCGGGTTTTACTCGACGAAGGGGACGCAGGTTTGGTGCCAAGGAGCATAATCAAAGAGGGTGTTGTAAAGAAGTTGATGGGGTGGGATTACAAGGGTTATAATGGTATTGTACATTAGAAATATTTAAGAAATGAGTTGTTGGCTTGTACCGCTAATAGTTGTACAAGCCAACAATGCATCCAAATGTACAAGTAACAAGTATAAGTTGTACGGTACAAGTTAGTGATGCATATAAGTATAGAAGTAAAGTAATAGAGACCAGTGAGGCTTGAATTGGCCTTTAGGGGCATATGTCATATAGCCCCCGATTGTATATAGACCATATATCAAGGTAACAAATGACTAGTACAATGTGCAGCTTAATGTGTACATATTTTGGCATATAATCATCTTCATGTTTTCCTTTTAGTTGGCATTGTGTTTGATGTGTAATACAATTACATCCGCTCTTCATAGTCAAATTTGGGATTCAATGATTTAAACATTTCAAAAACATGATTTATGATGGGAGTTTTTGGAGATTCAAGATTAAGGGATTGTTTGTTTTTTTCAAAATTACCTGTTAATGTCTCTGAAGTCTGATTCGTTCAGATGTTTAGGTATTAAGAGTGTTTTTTTAAGTAAGAGTTTAAATCTCTAAATGTCCTTTGAAATTTTAAGTGGTAAATGTATCCCTTAATACTTCTTATGGTGGATATCTGCAATTGCATTATTAAAATTTAAATTCCAATCCAAATCCTACAAACCAAACATGGTGTATAAAGGAATGAAATTCAAATTCATTCCAAATCCTACAAACCAAACATATAGAGGATTCCAAATCCCTCCATGAAACCGAAATCCCTCAAAAACAATTCTATAAACCAAATGGACCTTAAAGGGGTGTTTGGTTCACATAATAGAATTTGATGAAATTGGAATCCATCAAAGGAATTTTATTTTTAAGGAATTATAATGGAATTTGATGGGTGGTAGCTGTGATGATAATATTGGTGGGATGGTGATCGAGTGATTGGAGGCTGGGAGTGGGTGGGTATGACGACAACAATAGTGGCATGGTGTTTAGTGGTGGGATGGGTTAGGGTGGGATGGGTTAGGGTGTGGGTGAATAGCGGTTGTGAAGGCGACAATAGTGGTGTGGGGTGTTAGATTAGGGGCGGGATGGGCGGGAGTTGTGGCGGCGACAGTGGTGGTATGGTGGTCGGGTGGCTGGGAGTGGGTGAGTATGCGACAATAGTGGCATGGTGGTTAGTGGTAAATTGGGGTGGGGGTGAGTGGCAGTTGTGAGTCTTGTGGCAACGACAATAATGATGTGGTGATGGGGGTTAGGTTAGGGGCGTAACAGTAACGGTAGTAGCATGATCGTAGAAGGGATGTGCAGTGAGTGACCAGGGGGTGGGTGGGTGTGATGACAACAACAGTGGCATGATGGTTAGTGGTGAGATAGGGTGGGTGGGTGGCAGCNGAACAATAGTAGCATGGTCGGGGTGGGTGGTGATGTAATTCATTTCATTTCATTATGCTAAGGAATGTTGAATTCATTGATTTATGGAATTCAATGAATTTGAATGATCTCATTCATTTCAAGAAATGAACCAAATAGAGGAATTGAAATTTGGTCAAAGAAATTTGTTATTCTAATTCCATCAAATTCTTTTGAATTTCGCGAATCAAACGACCCCTAACTGAATATATTGATAATATATAAAAGAAGAAACAAAATTAAAAAAATAAACCGTCAATTCTCATTAATCATAGAACAATTATATAAAATAAGTTATATTTATATTTTTATCGCCGTATACTTTTGTCCGATGACATATCTATACTATATTATAAAACATTTAACAAAAACTCTTAAAAATCATTTTTATGCATTAAGTACTGTTTATTTATGCATATTACTTAAAATTCAAGATTACAAGTAAATTGTGCATAAATACAACTTATTAAATTTTCACGTTTGAATTCGTGTAACTAACTGCAGATAAACATAATCAAATAGATGATGATCATCTCATTTTAAATATAAAAAATCTAAAATATAATTAAGATAATCATTGAGTTCTAACAAAATATTTAATTATTATTTTTATAAAAATTATATTATTAAACTAAAAATAAAAAATGAATTAAAAAATAAAAAAAATAAGAAATTTTAAATAGTTAGTATGATACTAATATCAATATTTTTTTTCAATTTTTAATGATATATATAATCAACTGACACAAAAAAAAAACGAAACATTAAAATCAAGATGTATCTCGTTAAATTATGTGAGTACCCTCTTAATTATTAATAATAATAACGAAATTAATTTTATTTTTATTTTTAAAGTCTATGATTTATAGTCAAAATGCAAGGGGGGTTAGGTCCAATTTTTGTAAAGAAAAACGGAACCAAGTGGGTGAAGAGTCGAAGCAAGAAAACAAAGAGATGTGTGGTGTGCAGCTCTTCCCTAAACACGTGGATGGCTTCAACTGTCGTACAATGCTTGCTCTCTGTTTCGTATTCATCAATTCAACAGGAAGATACCTTCGAATCTTCTACTTTTCATTTCTCATCTTCATTCAATTCAACTAGCTCTCGCAAAACCATTCAAATTATCAAATACCCATCTGCATATATAAACACACACTTACACATGCTTGATTAATTGTAGAAATCAAAAGAAGATGAGAGCTTTGAATTCACATGTTGTGCTTGTTGATCTGAACGCATCATGGCAATCGGTGAACCAGATCCCAGCGTCGACTTTTGCTTACCTACAAAGTTCCAAAATTCCAAGTTCGTTCTCGGCGGCATTTCGTCGAACACGTCGAGGTAGGATCTCCTCGACGAGGTCATCGTCGGTTCCGTCCATCCGATCACCGGAAGTACGCAGGCCGAAAGAACGATCATCGTTTGGAAATGGGCTGTTGTCCCCTTCCTCGAATTCGACTTCGACGTCTCAATCTCAAGTGGGATCGGAGCTGGAGTTGTTTCTTGAATTGGTGCCCTTAAGGATGAGGACCAAGCTGTTTGAACATTCAGAGATTGGGGATATGATCGAGGTTGTAATGGATTTGGGTAGACAGCCCCTTGCTAGATTTCCATCAGGAGATTGGGCTATTTCCGATGAACCTGTCAACCTCGAAGATCTACGTCATGCAATTTCAAAGGTTTACTAAAAAAATGAGTTATTTTTTTTATGTTAAACTTGTTTTCATGCTTGATTGAATCATGCTCCCACAATTCTAAGAAGTCCATATTGACTTCCATATGTTACTTTTTTGTTTAAAAAATGGATGATAACTACATAAACTGTAAAAATATTACAATAAACTATGATAACTACATAAACTGTAAACATATTACAATAAACTGTAAACATATTACTTTTGCGTGGATTTTTAATTGGTAAGATGATTGGTTTGGATGTAAAAAAGAATGAACTTTCTTTGTCATATATAGATAGATGACTGACAGAGTTCTAAGTATTATAAAGGTCAAGATTCTTGTTATTCTATGCTAAATGTATCCTAACATTATGTAATATACTTGTTTCTTTCTCTAAAGGTTGGTGAATTTTCTGATGACAACCGATCAGGCATTGATCATTCTCTACACCGAATAAGTGCCATCCGCAACCGCAAAAGGCAAATAATCGGTCTCACCTGTCGGGTAGGTCGAGCTATATCTGGTAGTGCAGATATTATACGTGATCTGGTTGAAGGGGGAGGTTCCATATTGGTTATAGGACCACCTGGAGTTGGCAAAACAACCTTAATCAGGTATATCCAGTTCTTAGCTTATTATAATTGTTATTCTTATGATTTTCTGTAAATTTTTTGTCTTTCCCTTTTCATTGTTTATGCTAGATAGGTTGAATAATGTGGAGACTGAATTGGGAATTGAAAGTTGCATCAAATTACTTAAGTAACTCATTAGTTGTGCTTGTTCTTTAGTTACATTTTATCTTCGGCAAAAAATAATAGTGTTTAATGCTATCCTTGTAGAGAAATCGCTAGAATGTTGGCAGATGAGCGAAAGAAACGTGTTGTCATAATAGATACCTCCAACGAGATAGGAGGTGATGGGGATGTTCCTCATTCTGGTATAGGCCGTGCAAGAAGGATGCAAGTTCCGAATGTTAACATGCAACATAATGTGTGTGTTTTAACTTCATCTTCTGCTTTCACCATTGCACATAGTCTTGTGATATCCAATTAATTTAATCAAACAATTTTCTTATGCTTTTTGAACAGGTGATGATTGAAGCAGTTGAAAATCACATGCCTCAGACTATTATAATTGATGAGATTGGGACAGAGCTTGAGGCTTTGGCTGCTAGTACAATTGCTCAGAGAGGAGTTCAGCTTGTTGCAACTGCACATGGAGTAACAATAGAAAGCATAATAAAAAACCCATCTCTACAAATCCTTGTTGGTGGCATTGAGGTTAATGATTCAACTTATCTTTTTAATCTGCTTTGTTACGAAGTAAATTAGACTGAAGGATCATGGATATTTGGCGCCAGTCATTTCTTCTTCCAGCTTTGGTGGTTGTCAGTATTGCGATTCGTGATCCCTGTTTGCTTTATCCGTTGTCCCTGCTTTCTTTTTTGTTTACTGTACGTGTTGCGTGTTTGCACACACTCCTATATTACTATGTGGTAGAGGCAAGGTCTATGTACGTCCTACCGCTGACACGACATATGTATGCCTTTGTGGAATATACCGGGTTTGTTTGGTTTGGTTTACTTGGAATCCCCCAAGTGATATCTAAAACAGAGCTACCAAGTGATTATATATTTTTCCATGTGCACAGAGTGTTACTCTTGGCGATGATGAAGCAAGGAAACGGAAAGTGCAGAAAACTGTACTTGAGAGGAAAGGGCCTCCTACATTTTCATGTGCTGTTGAGATGATATCTAGAACAGAGTGTTCTGTTCATCATAGATTGGATGCTACCGTTGATGCTATACTTGCAGGTGCTTAGAACCCCTGAATCTTTTATGTATAATGTGTTAATAGTAATCCTACTGTATATGCTATAATCTGAACACCCCCCAAAACCAAAAAATAGAACCCGGAAGTTTTATTATTGCAATCTTTATTGAAAAACAGGTAAATCTCCTTTGTTTGAGATCCGCCATATGGATGCTGAAGCTGAAAGATCTTTAGATGGTTCTCAGCCGTCTGTTGAAGTAAAAGAGGTCGAGCTATTGGACGAGGAGGATGAATTGGATGAGGAAGACGAATTGGATGACGATATTTCATCTTATTTTGAAACATTAACCCGTCATGAAGATAACAAGATAGCTAAACAGGAGAATGTACATATTACTTTAACACCAAAAATGAACAAATCAGATAGCACCAAGCGGCTTTATGAAGGCATTAAGCATGAGATTGGGCCTGATGGGGAAGATGAAGAACATTCTTCAAATTTCAGAAAGTTAAGCACTAAACAACAAAGCAGGAAAAAAACCCCAGTTTATGTCTATACTTATAAGGTAATCTACCTCTGTTGATTCTTTGTATATTTAATATTTATATAGTATGCTAATCTTTATTCCTGCTACCTGTTTACTCACACTCTTGCATAAGCCAGGGGTGTTCACATAAACAACTGCACTACTCTTTGGGGGTAGAGATCAGGTCTGCATACAACTCACCCCGCAGACCCTAACTTGATGTGGGATTTACTGGGTCTGTTTGGTTTGCTTTGGTTTATTGATATAGTATGTTCTAGTAGTTTCTATACATGGATATCGTAAAAAGACTGTTTTTTTATTAACCTGGATATCCAAAAAAAAAGACTGTTTCACAGCACTGTTTTATCAAAACTCGCTGTGTAATACAAGGAAGTCTCAGTTCCATAATGAATGCAAGATTTATTGGGCACATAATTTCATAGAATTGTTTCGATCATAGGTTGAATGTCTAAGAGGGAATTTAGTGAACCACAATCAATGTTTTATTCGAATGTTGTACTGATCATATAACTTTGGCTTGAATGTGGGTGTAAATGTTTTAAGCAATCGGTAAGGTTGTAGTATAAAACTGAAAGCTTCTCTCATCAACCCTGCTCTAGATATTGGAAGCTGACCTACAACAAGTAGCAATGGTGATGGGGATGACAGAGGAAATTGATGTAACTGATGATATTAGTAATGCTGATGCTATATTAGCATCCAGTTTTGAGATGAAGGAGAATCCCTGGATACGCACTGTAGCCAAATTTCACAAGTTGCCAGTATTTGTTATCAAGGTACTGTATTTTGCTATGTTTTTTCTTCGACTACAGACAGAACTTATAGATTTGATTGTACCGTTCATTGATGAATTGAACTACAGTCAACTACCATGGCTCAAATGGTAAAAGCAATCCGCATGATTCTTGGGAGGGACTCATTTGGCGCTAAGTCAAAACAACTCAGAAAAAGTTCAATGGATATCGAGATTGAAGATGATGTACCAAGAAGAAAACCATCCTTAGAGGAAATTGATGCCTTAGAGGTGCTATCTCCTGCCTCTTACTCCATTTTTAGAGATTTGTATTCATGCCAAGTTCAGAAACAGTATTATTTTAGAGTTTGAATTCTGCTTAGTAGAGTCCCACATTGGCTGGACTTTTGACAATTTCTCTTCAATATACGTTGGAACTTCTCTTCTCCTCTTTCAGAGAGTAATCTAATAGGGTTCCACAAAAGAGTCACGGTCTACCACTATAGGGACTACAATCTAAGGGGATTTTGTGCCCTTCTACCCTCCATTAGAGGGGGCGTGTTGTGTTAGAGTCCACATGACTAGACTTGGGACCATTTCTCTTTAATATATGTTGGAAACATCATTTATCTTCTTAATGGCTCTGTTAGAGAGTAATCTAATAGGGTTTCACATATCCTTAAAGTTTTATAACATCAAAAGGGCTATATTTTAATCTTGATGATCTTGTAGGAAGTTCGACTTGCAATCGAGTATATTGTGATTCCTAGTGGGGAACCAGTTGAACTTCTGCCGAGATGCTCCGAGATAATCGCTCAACAACTGGAGCTTGTAAAAAGTTATCAGCTGGCAGTAGAAAACTCGGGCACAGACCGTAACCCAAGGCTGCAGATTCTTCCCCAGAAGTTGAACAAGAAATCAGAAAAACAGTCGAAACCAAGCTCGGTTTCGCAAAGCAGCACAGGGCCTGGTGGTGTTGCAGGTACAAGTGTTGGTAGGCTGCCATTTTTGCCTGAATAGAAAAGAAAAGGATGGGGTCTCTAATTTGATGATAACTTGTTTCATATTGTACAGTCATTTAAAGTATGACCTTTCTGTGTGATCCAAGATTTGTATGTAAACCCATTGCTTGTTTGTAATTGTAATTGTAATTGTAATTGTAGTTGTAATTATGTAATGTAAACAATTATACTCTTGCATTGTTGTTATAAAATGTACAAAGTTACACATCGCGGAATGTCTCGCTACTTTATCCATTTTTATGCCAGGGATAAAATAGTGGGCCCCACATTATTTATATGATGGAATGTTATCAAGCTAGGTATCTTATACATAGACCAATTTTTGTTATTGTTATTACATGATGATGTATCTATATTATATTACAAAACATTTGATAAAAACTTTTAAAAACTATTTTTTATACATAAAGTACTGTATATTGATGCATATTACTTAAAATTCAAAATTACAAGTAAATTATGCATAAGTACAACTTATTAAAGCTTCATGTTTAAATAGATGATAAACATCTCATTTTAAAATATAAAAAATCTAAAATATTATTAGGATAATTATCGAGTTCTAACAAAATAATTAATTATTATCTTTATAAGAAAATTATATTATTAAACCAAGTATAAGTTACTTCGTTATTGATCTAAATTAAATTATAATAAAAAAAATTAAATCAAAAAATAGGAATTTTAAATAGTTAATTTGATATTAATATCATTATATTTTTGTCAATTTTTTTATGATATATTCAAATTTATATTTTATTCAAAAATAAACACATAATCGTTTTTTCAAAATCATATAAGACCATGCTATAACATCGACTGAGATAAAAAATAAAATAAAATATTAAAATCAAGATGTATCTCGTTGCATTGCGCGAGTATCCTTCTAATTCTTCATAATACATATTCTATAATTATTTAATGTACCATCAAGTTAAATTGAACTTTAGAGACTTTCATATAATGATAGTTAAACACAAACTAATTGTATACAACCATATAGGGTGTTCAGTTTGTCTTAAAACTTAGGATAACTTAATACTATATTTATATCGTATTTTTATGTATCTAAACATCCTTGAGTAGCTAGTGTGACTACAGAATTAGATTTACGAGATTCAACATTGAATCAAAAATATAAAATAAAATAAATAATAATTTTCGAGAATCATATTTATGACTGTGAAAATCATAGAAAATAGTTGAAACTATCTCATAGGCTAAATTATTTCATACATGGTTTTATTTGAAAAATTAAAACAAAAGATGTTCGTGATTTCAAGTTGAAATTAACTAGTAATCTAAATTGTTTCATGTAAAATATGATCCTAACAATTTCCTGTAAAAAAAATGTTTGCTGAAAAGAATAATAAACTTTCACATATATATATATATATATATATATATATATATCTCGCATGGTTTTTCACAACAAAAGCACATACAAATATTAATTGTTGAATATAATCATTTTTATTTTATTATTTATTTTATTTCAGATAAATAAGTGTTGTCATGAAAAAAAGACAAAAGCTGAGAAAAGAGAGAAAGAAAATGAATTCCACAAAACAATAATAAATTAACATAAGAGAAAAGGTTATCAAAATATATCAATAGTCTAGTGGGGTAACGAAGTATTTATGTATCTTTGGGCTTTGGAGTTCAAGTCTTGTGGTTGCCACTTTCAAAAGAAAATTATTAGTAACAACATCACAAGACTTAAAGTGATGTTATGGGCCATTGCAGGGCTCGCCCACCCATAGACCCGACCTTGAACATAGTCGTTCTACAAAGCATTCGTGACATAATTTTTACTAACATTCATACATTTCTTCAGTAAACTAAAATCGAAAGTTTAAAAGCAATTTGATACAACTGAAGTTGAATAAGTACAATTAAAATAACATCATATATATACAACAACATAAGTTAGCATGGCTCTAAGTGAATAACTAATAGCTACATCTTCTCTTTACCATTGTTGCACTCTGTTTCAACGGATACTGAAATGCATATTAGTTGTTAGTCTTACGCTCAGTAAGTTTATAAAATGTAGGAGATCTTAATGTTGAATATAAGTGGGTGTAAAACCCGTGGTTTTTAATGAAAAACAATTGCGGGATTTGGTCAAGTTAATTTCGAGGTAATAATGCAAGTTTATGGAGTTTAAGCTGTGTTTAATCTCTTTGGTTAATTGTGGAGTTTAAAAGTAGCAAAATCGAGGTTTTTGGAGTCACGAGTGGGCTCCTTGCAACTTAGCCTGCGACTAAAGTCATAGCCAAGGTCACGTCAAATATCAGATTGGGTTTTAAGGACTTTTGGTTAGGGTTTGCTCTCATTTTCTCATCCCCTTTTTATTTTTTGTATGAGAGTTTTGAGAAACATTTTTGAAGCATTTTTTAGAGGATATGATGTAGCATATAACAATGAAAAATCAGATTACCTCGTTGATTCTAAGAATGCTTGTGGCTAATCTCTTCTGAATTTCGTTGATTCTAAGAATACCCTTGGCTAATCTCTTCTGAATTTTGTTGATTCGATGAATACCAAACCTAGGGTTCAAATTCGAATTCACGATAACTCAAATTTTGGAATAAAATCAATTTTTTTGTAATCCAAGTGTGACCATCCAGATTTCATAAGACACATATATATAGGAAGCCTAGAACAAAACGGGCCTGAAAAAATAATGAGCCAATCATAAAAGCCCAAAGAAAATGCCAAAAAGGAGTAAAAAGCACAAAACTGTCCAAAAACCATGCTTAAATAGCATTTTTAGGCTTCACAAGTCAGTTAGTCCCCTAACCACGACGTGCTCCTCGCTTCAGGCTTCGAATCAACTGGTCATGGGCCTAAAATAGAGACCCGGAGTGAGAGTTGTGGCCTTTTAAACGCGACCCCCTTTGGTAACCCGGTCATGAGCCTCCAAGAACGATAAGACCCGGTCTTCCACGCCCAGGACTACATCAGGATCTAGTTAAGGACTTTGGATTACGATTGGTACGTTTGATTTTGAGATTTGGAAGAGCTCCATGGTGGATCTTTTGGTTGCAATGTTTCAAGATCTTGAGGGGGTAAACTTTTTGGGTGTTTTGAGCTTTATATTTGAGGAATCCTTGTGGCTGGGAAGTTCGTGGTAATTTTTGGTATACTTGTAGACTTAGATTGTGGTCTTGAGAAGAATCTTTGAGATCTTTGCTTCTGAGTTTCAAGTCTTTGCCGTTGGAAGCTAAGTTGGGTATGAAAACGAGGTTCGATTTCAAATTGTTATGTGAAAACTATATATTGAATGTGAAAGCAAATCACTAGACACTTATTCGTTTCAATAAGTTGTACTTACGCAAATATTTAACAATATAATTTTCTAAAGATAATAATTAAATATTCTATTACAACTAAATGATTATCTTAATTATATTTTGGATTTTCTATATTTAAAATGAATATTTATCTTGTACTTGATTATGTTTATCTGCATTTAGTTACACAAATTTAAAATTGAGCTTCAATAAGTTGTATTTACGCAAAATTACTTGTGATATTGAATTTTAAGTAATATACATCAATACATAATATATCATACATAAAAAAATAGTTTTTAAGAGTTGTTGTCGTATGCTTTATAATATAGTATAGATAATTAATTTAAAAATAAAAAAACCGTTGGATTTATTATAGTTTTTTTTAACTTCTTGTTATTTGTTTTATAGAATATATTTGACACGATCAAAATTTGTTTTTTAGTTGTATACACCATGACATGACCAAACGCAAATACTATTTTTGACCCAAGATTTTTGTGTCCATTTATTGGTCTGATCGAAAACTCTAAAATCCCAGATTAATCATCACATTCATGGGTTTTTATCTTTTATAGATTAGGTCTAACCCCTTTTTCATCCCAAGATTTTAGGATGCAACCCTCATGATACCCATTCTTGATCTTATACACGGATTTGCTTCAGCTTTTCTGGTGTAAAAGACTTCAATTAACCCATAAATTGTACGAAAAGTTCAGATGATTTGCAACTGAAAGACTCAAGTGAGATATCCGAGCTCAATGATGGTGTTAAAACCTAATTCTACAGTCTGCAGAAGCTTTCACTTTCCCGATCTTTCGCTTTTTGGATCTCAATCAACAAGGTACGATCTGTCAGTGTTTATTTTATGTTATTCTCATATCTGAATCAAGACAGATTATTCAGTTGCTTACACTTCGCCTTTTGTGTGTGCTCGAAATGTGTTAGGTTTTAAGTTGTTGATCCATCTCTCCAACGAATCTGTATGGATATATCTGTATCTGTATATGTAGAAGTAGGATAATCATAGGAAAAAGGATACGAAAATTTTGATTTTGGGAATTAGGTTTTGGGTATACTCTCAGTATGTTTAAGATTATTAAAGGGAAGAAGAAGGGTTTGAAACAAGAAGCCATTGAACCGCCTCCAGGACCCAATGCTTCATCTGATGTGACTGTAAACCATGCTTCACGTTCGGCTATTGTCAGTGACCAGCAGCCTAGTGTCAGGCCACAGGCTGTCGCTTTGTTATCTTCTACACCACAACTTGGTGCGGTTGAGGTGTTACCTCTGTTGAAAGATGTTCCCGTGGCCGACCGTCATGTTCTGTTTCTTAAGAAGCTGCAGATCTGTTCGTATATGTTCGATTTCTCGGATACATTGAAGAATGCTTCGGAGAAGGAGATTAAAAGGCAGAACCTTTTAGAGCTTGTCGATTTAGTGCAGTCGGGTTCAAGTAAGATGAATGAGATCATGCAAGGTGAGATGATTAAGATGATATCTTTGAACATATTTCGGGGTTTGCCTCCTCAAGCGCATGAGAACACAGGGGCTGAAAATGTTGATCCAGAAGAAGATGATATGTACTTGGATCCCTGTTGGCCACATTTGCAACTTGTTTACGAATTGCTTTTGAGATATGTGGTGTCGTCTGATACCGATACTAAAGTGGCCAAGAGATACCTCAATCATTCATTTGTACTAAACTTGCTTGATTTGTTTGATACAGAAGATCCAAGAGAGCGTGAGTATTTGAAGACTATACTTCACCGTGTATATGGTAAATTCATGGTTCATCGTCCCTTTATAAGGAAAGCAATAAACAATATCTTCTATAGGTTTATATTTGAAACAGGGAGGCATCCTGGTATCAGTGAATTGTTGGAGATTCTTGGAAGTATTATAAATGGTTTTGCGGTCCCGATGAAGGAAGAACATAAGTTGTTCCTCGCCCGGGCTCTTATGCCACTTCACAAGCCAAAGTCTATTAATTTATATCATCAACAGTTGTCCTACTGCATAACCCAGTTTGTCGAAAAAGATTACAAGTTGGCTGATATTGTTATTAGAGGGTTATTGAAGTACTGGCCTGTTACAAACTGTGGAAAGGAAATCCTCTTTCTTGGAGAGCTAGAAGAAGTATTAGACGCCACCCAACCTGCAGAGTTCCAGCGCTGCATGGTTCCTCTCTTTCGAAGGGTTGGATGCTGCATCAATAGCCCCCATTTCCAGGTTTGTGATTCCTGGTTTCTGCCTCTGTTTTCTTGTTACAATTTCAAATTCAATTAATGTTCGATTTTAAATTATTCTTGCTATTAGGAAAAACATTTCTTCTATACTTTTGTGTCATATGTGTAATCATTCTGCAAGTGTTTTCCTTCTCTTGGTAAAAGGTCAGTGCTTCTTTAGAAGGATAAGATATACTCATCATATATTTCTTCTTACATCCCAAATCAATTAAAAGCTAATGTTCCTTTGTTCTTTCTGATTATCGGAGAAGACTTCAAAGCTATGTTTGACATCTTGGGATTCTGATCCGATACCAGTCCTTACAGTAAAGTTAGCATTATTTCAACTTGCCTTGGGTTTATGTTATATAGTCTTTTGCTCTTAGTCCTTCTACCAGTCATTCCATATGTCGTTACCTTGATATATTTTATTTTTGCTCAATCTTTTAGGTCTTGGGATATTAGTTTACGTTTAAGTCGATATTTTTTATATGATTCTATTTAGTTTCTTGAAGAAGCTTGAATGTGGTCTGGTTGTGAGCTCTTTTCATTACCATAATGAAGCTGACATGATGTGTGCAAACTCTCTTGAACCTAAAGAAGTACAATATTGGTCTTTATTGAGGCTGTGATAACTTTTTGCTTCATTCACAATTAGTTAACATACCAACCCTGTGTTTTGTTAACAAAATAATTAAGCTGTCTATGCTTGCTAGTACATTTCTAGATGTGTGAACTTTTGTTGGATATGTAGCCCAATTTAGAATTTTCAGCATTGCAAATTCGACTTCTGTAAGAAGACACTTACAACAACAGTTAGGATGATCATTTTCTAGTTTTATCTATCTGAATACTTATAAGAGGAGCCAAATTTCTTCTTTGTAAAGTACTATTGAAGTTCGTAAGGGAATAGTAAAAATCCTAGCAACTATCATGGCTGTGTAAATTACGAGACCACGTAAATATTGTGTCTTCAATTTTATGTCCTACAATTTAGGATTGATTGTGTGTGATTATTGATCCTAAAATCCTCAATTCTATGTTCTTGCTTTTGTATATTTTGCATTTCTACCTTTTGAGTTATGAATTTGTTGATTAACTACTTACTCTTCTCATGTAGTGGAAAAATTCTTTCAAAGGTTACCTATGCTTCTAGAATGAGTTAGTGCATTCCACATACTAAGATGATGTGAAATTTGAGTTAACCAAACTAGTTAGATCTCTCAAGATAAATTAAAAATGTTCTCGTTTTCAGGTTTTAAAAATGTCTATATCTATTTGCAAGATGTTGGGAATAAAAATAATGATATTTAAGCATCTTTTCTATAGTAGCAATTTATGATTTTTTATGTCTTACTGCTAATTAATAGTATGTTTATAATTCAAAAACTTTTTATGTGATACTTATCATTAATTAAGGGAGAATCGATGGCAAATGCAAGATCGGGATCATGATTTTGTTTTAGCTTTAATCTAGTTTTTTCAGGGATATTATCGTAACAGTATTTTGATTATTATTAGGATTGTTTACTGATTCTTATAATTACTATCATGATAATTTGAAGGATTATTTCCTAATTAGTATTAGGATAATTCTTGGTATTTATCGGTATAGTTTATTTGTTATCATCTTTAGGATAAGTAATAGTTTTATTGTAAGGAGAAACATATATACTTGAGTGTCAGGAGAAACATTTATACTTATTGTTGATCTTTTGACTTTTGCATATAGATGGTTAAGTAAAAATAGTCGATTCTATGATTGTATGAAAGAATTACTCTTATAGGGAAAATGCTTTTTGGTTGCCTTGAGAGCCATGCTCAAGAGATCCTAGTGTTTTTATAGTGTGAAGCTACAGAAGGATTCACTTACAATCCAATGCAGAAAAGAAGCAGGTAAAGAATGCATTTCATACCCAAGGCCTGTCCATCCTTCTCTCTAACTAACAGTTCATACTACTCCCCTCCAACCATGTAGGCTCCATGTACCTCCAACTACCAAAGAGAAAAAGGGAAAAGGAAATAAACTACAATGACTAGATTGCCTTTCTTCCTACCATATTGATCTAAATCTTTCATGATGACACATTGTCACCCCTATTTTGTCGCTGGCAAAATTTTGTAATGAATTTGAATAATAAGGATGAATGTAAAAGAACACCACCCAGATGGTTACTATTAATAGAAGGAAAATCAAACAGCAAGGCGTGATTACGACTTTGAATGAAGATTGCAACACAATACAACTCCCTCAGCAAAAGGATACCTTCCCTGAGCTTTTGAGTGCCTTAGACGTTCCCAATCTAACGAAAAAGCAATACTCCAGATGGTTCCCCACTACTGTTCTCTCTCCCTTTTATTCTATACACACGTAACTACCTCTGACATACTCCACCTGACAAACATTTTCTAACCGCTTTCTCAGTGTAATCCATTACTGCAAGTGGTACAATGTCTTTACCTCTTGCATAAGTGCACAATAGGCGGCGTCAAATTATTTTTTGGGGTCATTACAAATTTTCTTCCAAAACTAGGAAACCTGGAACTAATGTTAGCTTAATTGCGTCTGATATAAGTTCGACCAACATACCATACTTGTACAACGTCTTATTTCTTTCTCTTGATCACTTGTCTATCTAGCGATGCAAGTCGCTGTAGAAAACATTAATCGTCTATTTGTACCTTAAGTAAGGTACTGATAGCTCAATAGTAGTAATTACTTGTTTTCCAACCTTCTCTAGTAAGGAAAAATGAAATACCTAATGTAATCTTAATTGAGGGAGCTCGAGCTTGTAAGGAACATTCCTACCCTTTGTTTTGCCTTGTATGGTCCGTATACCAGGGTGACAACTTTTGATTGTTCCTTCTATGGAGTGTTAGTTGTCTATATGGTTGAAGCTGTAAAACCCCAGATCACCGATCATAAAGCTTCGTGTCGCTTCCATGTGAATCTTCATATCATTTCATTCAATTTTGAGGTGTACCATATTGTTCTTCTAAATCTGCAGCCAGCTGAATGTTGCTTGATATAGTCATCAATTTCAGTAGTTTACTAATTCCCTAATGTGGTGTGGATATATAAGAGGAGGCAAATGATCGTAAACGGCTTGAAAAGTAGTCATCCCTATTGCTCTTGAAATGATAAGTTGTTCCATAAATTAGCCAATGGCTACCATTTAACCTATAATATATGGTTTCTATGCAATGCAACATCTTAAGTAAAGTCTCCAAGCAATGGTTAACTCTTTTGGTTTGACTGTCTGATTATGGATGATAGGAGGTACTTGGAGATGTCGAGTCCCCATTAACTTGGATAATATTTTCCAAAGTGCACCGTTGAATATCTTGTCTCTATGACAAACCACAGATTTAGGAATTCAATGCAATTTAATCACAACGCCAAGTGTTTTGGGCAACTTCAACGTCTTCAAATGCATAAGAAATGCCACAAAGTGGGCATACTTACTCAAGTGGTTTACTACCATCATAATTATGTCATTGCCCATTGATATAGCAAGACCTTCAATTAAGTCCTTTGAGAGATCAATCTGAGGCTACTGCAAGTGACTGTAAAAGCCTTGGGAGCAGCACAGACTCCTTTGTTTTTTTAGTAAGCATCATGCTCCTTATCCCACATCTTGATATCATGTCTCATACTTGGCTAATAAAATAGGGACACATTCTTAGTGATAATGTTTTGAGGACCTAACTGACATATCCCCAATTGATGCAGCTCCAAAGCTATTTTAATCTTTAGTCCCCACTACGGCCAACATATTGTGCATAAGGAGCGCGATCTGTATATTAACTTTCTTAGGGCCTCAATTACTTACTGTTGTTTCTTGTGATGTAGGTTGGGCTGATTGATCACCTTCGTGATGCATTCGTGAGAGGGTATCAAGAACAACATTTTTACTTTAACTTGTATAACAATTTCATAATCAAAACCAAGAGCTTGGCTAACCATTTTTGTTGAAGCATGGTTGAGAATCTTTGGGTCTAATAATATTTCAAGATCAGTGACAGTCCTTATTTTTAAAGTTCATGAGCCACAAGGAAGCGCTCTCCAAGAAACCCAATGCTTCATCTTGCGACGATGCGTTCACAGCGGGAGTAACTATAACACTTTTAAGGTAGCCAAATGACTCGTCATCTAATTAGTGACACACATGAATGGATTAACGAGATTTCTACTGTCCGTGCCCAAAAACAAGTTCCTTTTTAATCATTGAAGTCCCTTTATTTGTGTTAGAAAGGGCTGATGCAAAGTTTTGTGGCAACCCATCATGATTTGGGTGAGTTACGAAAAATTATGACCGCTCAAAAAATCAATGATGGCCAAACTCGATGCAGTACTTACACTTGTGTACAATCAACGCAATAGTGAACATCTCTTTCTCATGAGTCAAGAGACCCTTACTCCAAACTCCTAGCCCCAGACCCTTACTCCAAACTCCTAGCCCCCTACTGACTGGTTAATAATTCTGTAATAGTACCACCCTTTGGCTAGCATTGCATGCATGTCTCATTGTAATCTAGTAGTCTTAACTAGGAGTACTATACATAGGTGGCTTGAGTTTTTGGAATGTCAAGTCTACTTGAATGGTCCATTTAAGTTCACCTGTTTAATCTGTATGTGGTCAAGAATTACACCATACCAACCAACAAACTTATGGTAGCATTAAGAGCCAAAAAAACCTCTTAACACGCTAATGCACTTGAGAACTACCCACATCAACTAAATAACATGGTCAAGATACTCAATTTTTTAATACAAAAGCATACTTTTAATACTTGGCAAACAAATGATGTTCGAGTAATAATCTCAATACTAACTCCAAATGTTTCAGAATTCCAGGGTATATATTAATATATTGTCAAGACAAACTTTCAAAGGTAAGGCTAGAACACCAATTATGCTTATTTTGTTGTTGAAGCATTAGGAAGACCATATATCAATTTGTAATGGCCAAAATGTGTTGTGAATATTGTTTTGGCATCATC